AATAATCCTAAAAGGTCAAAGATTAATCTTCTTTTTCCTCAGAACAAAAAGTTCAAGAAACACAGTTTAATTGTTCAAAACCACTCAGAAGCTCCGTATCAGGACTCAAGACGCAGACCCAGCTGATCCAAAAGTCTAACTAGCTTTTTTTGGCAGAGGCAGTACCATGAGCAAGAGCAGAGAGGCCTCAACTAACACCAACAGTCAGGTTGATTAACATTCTGGGTACACTGACAGTATTGAGAGATGCGCTTAAAAAGCTGGCTGGATTGCCAGACATGGTGACATGCACCTAGTGCCCAGGTACTCAGGAGGCTGTCAAGCAAAGATCACTTGAGCCCAGGAGTTCAAGGCAAGCCTAGCTAACAAGTGAGACCCTGTCTCAAAAAAACAAACAAAAAAAAGGCTTGAAATCATGATTTTCCTTAATAATATTAACTAAAAGCAATTTTAATACTACAAACTGCAAACAACCATTTCTTTGCCTGAACTGTCACTCCAAAGTCATCTGATTATCACAGCTACTAAATAATTAAACCTGTGTCTAATCTGAAAGACAGATAAATTCTTTTCCTTGCACTGTCAATTTGCTTTTACATGGTTCTAAATAAGCATTTGGACTGATAAAGAGGTTCCACTCAAGTTTACAGAAGCCCCAGGCTAACTCCTAACAATATTTGGGGGAAAGGGTGATTACGTAGTTAGTTATCATGGTATCTCGGACTTGTTGTCAAACTGAAGCAGATTGGCCAATAAAACTGTGTATGTAATTAAGAATCTCTGTGAAGTTTTGGGTTGGCCCATACATCTAAATATTGGTAACAGATACCATAAATAACTTGTACTTACCATATGGACTCTCCTCTTCTGAGTCACCTGAATTCAAGTGCAGATGAATATTTGCAAAATAGCTTCCTTAAAATGTGACTGGGTACTTAAAACACACTGCGTGGTAAAAATTCTACTGGATTAAATCGAAGGGTTTAGCAGCCCATCAGATCCTGAGTGATGCTGAGTTGCTCTCAGTCTATCAGTTCAACTGATGTTATGGCATATTGAGGAAGATATGTTTGGATGACTATATGTGAACCATTCTAAATTTGCTCTGGGCCACACAATGAGCTGATTAGTAGCTGATGGACCTGTTACCTCAGTTTCATTAGCAAATAGTATATAACAAAGCACCTTCATGGAGAAATCAAAATAGAATTGAAGTCTTAGTTATTAGCCATACCAGCTAGCTTCTGTGGACCTGTTCCCTCATTATAGCTATACGTGCATAAGCCTGCACTGAGGATAAAGTGAGGTGACTGAAGTAAAAGAACTGATAACCAGAGAACTGTGCAAATAGTGCTATGGTGCTTCCCAGGGTATGGCAAGCTAGTGGTACATGACAAGATAAATTAGGCAAACCCCGCAGCATCTTCAAAGATGGGAAGATCCTTGCAATGATTATAATCCTCCTTTGAATCACATCAGTAGGTAACCCAATGTCTGTTTGAAGTTGAGTCCATAAAAACTCTCTTGAGGCTGGGGTGTAGCTCAAGAGGTAGAGTGCCTGCCTAGTAAGCACAAGGCCTTGAGTTCAAACCCCAGTACCACCAAAAAAATAAAATCTGAAGATATGTGTCTCTAGGGTAATAAATATGAAAAGTAAGACTGAGGAACCTAGGACTGTTTTGTAAGAATGAGCTTGAGTCAAAGAATTTGGAGGACTAGAACAGGACAAGATAAGTAAAGCCTATAGCAAAGAGAGCCATGACAGCAACTAAGCCAGTCCCTAAGTCACATGTGGCCTTTGTTTTTAGACAAAACCACAATGGGAACAAAAGATTTCATGGATCCCTCACAGGTTTTTAGATCAGGGAAATCTGATCTAACGAACAAATTAAGAAAAAAAGGATGTTTAGACGGAATAACTCTATGGATAGCTTAGAAATACTCAGGCAGAGATACAGCTAACATTTAACTTCCAGTAAGTCCCTTGAATAAGAGTCTATATTATAATAAAGAGCCTTTTAGAATGCAAGGGATCCTAACATTTGAGTGCTTAAAATATTCCAAGCTGTATTCTAAGTGCCTTACATGTATTACTCACCAATCTTCATTACAACCATTGAGGCAACGGTATAGTAGTAATCTCTTATCTATGGATAGAAAGACTAAGACCTAACTTGCCCAAGGCCAAAAACCAGTTGGCATTCAAAGCTAGTCAAGTTGACTTTTTCTTGGTGTGGCACTGGGGACTGAACCCAGGGCCTCATGCAAGCTAAGCGTGGCTCTACCACTTGCTCTATGCTCCCAGCCTCAAGTTGGCTTTAAACTATGCTGACCACTGAACTAACTGCTTTATGTACAAAAAAAAAAAAAAACTCTGCACTACAGTGGCTAAGAGAAATAAAAGAAACTAAATGAAACTTTGGCAAAGAACACAAATAAAGGCAGAATAAGAAAGGAAACTAGTGACAAAAAAGCATCAAGTTAACAAGGATCTGCTTCCCAAAGAGCAGTTAACCGTTCTAATGGAATCTGTATGGGAGGGTTAAAGAGATTCAAGAGAAGGCCAGGAATACCAAGGATGTGGTGTTAGGCAGCATGACTCCCCCAAGTTCCTGAGTAGGTGAGCAGGTAACTGTGGCTCGGAGGCTTATTTTGTGTGGGTTGCTCAGGATGTTCAATGCAAATCTATGGCCTCTGAGTAAGTCCAAATCTAACCAACCTCTACAGCTGCAGAGTGCAAAGGCACCACTTTATAAATCCTTAGTCATTTGTTCAGTTTTCCATGTTCTTATGTAGAATACAGAAGAGTCAGGGTGAACTAATTCTAGTTTCATATTTAACTGTGGGTTTATAGATAAAATAGTCTCCTTGGCTTCAGGTTTTTCCAACTATTAAACGATGATAGTACCTAATCTCTCAGGACTATGCAAGGATTAAATAAAATAAAATATGTAGGAAGCGTAACACAGTACAACATGTACTATTCAAAAAATGTTAGCTCCACCCCTTTGCCCAAGCTTTATTACCAAGAATTCTAACTAAACATATAGAAGGAAAATGATGGGGGGGCCCACAGGGCTGGAGATGTAGAGCACTTGCCTAGCATATACAAGGCCCTGGGTTCAATCTTAGAAGTTAAAAAAATAATATGAAAAACTCATTATTAAGACATCTTAAAATATGTGAGTTCCTCAGGTCAGCTGGGTAAAACTGAGTGGTAACAGTGCTAAAGTTCAATGCTCACACTGTTTTGTTCTCATAAGGTGTGCCACTGTTATACTTTGCAGAGTCACCTTTTATTCAACAAAGAGCCTAATAATTAAACAGGTGTTATGAACACTTCAGTACAACCAAGAGGCAGAGGTGACACTAGAACTCCTGCCACTTGAATACAGGACTCACTGAATGAAAATACTTTTTCTCTCTCAGGACCAGTATTCATGATTCAAAAATAAAAGTCAAAAACTTGGTAAGGATAAAATCTTCCAAAAATGATACAAAATCTCTAAATACCACAAGAAGCTGAAAAGGATTTCAAGTGAGATTGTGAAAAGTTTGCTTGAAGCTTAATATATTTTTCATTTTAAATAAGTTAGAATACTTCTATAAACACAAACTTAAGCTTCTGATATTATCCTCACACCCTCAAAAGATAAACAAACTTCAAAAGTAATATATTTTTCTTTGACAACATCAGTAAATAGATTGGCAAGCTTGTCAAAGAGTCATTTCAGTCTTTTTCCTTAGTAGCTAAATATGTGTGGACAATTTACCAACAGTATAAATGCTTTTCTCAAATGCTAAGTGAAAGATAGACACAGTAGATTCTACATTGTATGGTTACATTTATATGAAATTCTAAAAAAGCAAAACTAATGACAGAAAGCAAATCACTGTTTGCCAAGGATGGGAAGGAGGGACTGACCTCAAAGGGACATGACAAGTTCTGGGGCAAGGGGATGTTCTGTAGGGTGACTATGGTAGTCAGCAGACAATGTGTGTTTTCAAAACTCACGGAACTCTGCACGAGAAACTGGAAAATTTTATTACATGAAGACAATACTTCGTTTTTTTAAAAAGGTAATGCATAATAAATGAGCACACTTTTCAATCATTCATTTCAGTCAAAACATTTTACCTGGTAAGAGTTTGGGTGCAGTTCAATAATAGAGCACTTGCCTACTGTGAGGCCCTAAGTTCTATCCTCAGCACTGCAAAAAAATAGTACAAAAATATTTGTAGAAAATAATATAAGTATTTTTTCACAATAAGCAGTGCTTACTTTTTTAACGTTTTTGTAGGATATGTCTTTAATTATCTTATAACAAAACACAGCTTAAAAAGTGACTTTGCAATTAAAGTATTCCAAAACTGCATCAATATACTGATACAATACTTGGCAGGCCACAGGATATTTTTTTCTGGAACTTAACATTATAACAGAGGTTACAAGTTCAGATGCTACAGGGGTCAAGTAGATAACAAAAGTAAAGAACTATACAAATGATCTCTGAACGTAATCTTGGTAGATAACGTTCAGTGAGCGGATGGAGAACATCATAATGTGGAAAACTAGAGAGCATTTAACCTTTTATGGTCCTGCCGGGAGATGCCAAGAAAGAACTCAAGCTTCAGGGTAGCCAGAGCTTCTGATGTTTACAGAAGCAGGAATCTGGATTTTCATGTGAAATTTGCTGACTTTTCAGAATGAGGGTACCTTTTTTTTTTTTAAAACATACCATATTGGCCAAATACATACCTCCATAGGCAGGATCATAACCTGTGATCCACAGTATATGTTTTCTAAACTTGTTCAATAGCATACTCGGCCTTTGTCCAAACTGCTGGCTTTAATTGTAGAGTCTAGGAAAATGTGGGGTATTTGTGTAACTAAAGAATAATTCATCTCAAAATTACATGAGGGATAGTCAATTTTGGTCACTGTTCTGAAAAGTCAAGTCCTATTTACATTTCTAAACATGTAGGTTGGTAATATAAGAAATAATGAGTTAGAATGAAGGAAGGGAATGAGGATACACTGAAGAAAGCACTACTTCAGCTATGATCAGTCAGTGTCCAGACTCTAGAGCAATAAAATAATTCACATGCTGAAATTTGAGAACTTCATTGCCCCAACTGGTCCAACCTGGCTGTAAATTTCGAGCAAACAATTCCAAACATTCCCCATCTGGCTTGATGTAGTCTTTTAGAACCTCTGTCCAAAAAAGAGAGAAGAAGAAAAAAAAAAAAGAAACACAAAATTACTATTAAGAAAGAAGTCAATTTCCTTTTAGCAGGGAAGAGCAGAAGATCATTTTAAATATCATTTTTTAAATGATACTGCATTTTTTAAAAGACAGCAAATTAATGTCAAGCATTTCATCACAGGTCTGGCTATTTATAATCAGAAAGCCAATGAGACAAGCACGTGTGAGACAGGAGCAATACCATCAGAACTCTCACTAGTACTGATTTATTGGTTTTCATTTGTAGATGAGAAGTGAGAGATTTTAACACCCACATAGGTGACTTTTCAGTTTTCCAATACTGCTGACATATCTCCTGAGAACTTCATTTTTTAATAAATGTAATCCATGCATAAAAAAAACTCTATAGAGAAACAATACAAAGATAGACCACTTTTTAAATGAAGATAAAACATAATTCTCTTTTTAGGACAAACTGTAGTGAAGAACAGTGAATGAAGAGTTGGACAGAAATATACTCAGAACAAATAACTAAAGTCCTCATAGCTATAACTTGGTAGTACTAAGACTATTCTCTCATGTTCAAATAATAGATCTTTCTTTGCTTAAAATTTCACCATATTTCCAGAGTTAAATAGGCCTTACTTAATATATCAATAAATACTATATTGAAATTTATATTTTGTTGGGGAAAGTTACCTCAAATATATTTTAGCTAAGCAGTTGTGATCTACCCTAAATGAAAGAAAAGAATACCACAAAAGTTTTTTTTTTAAAGCACATACTCAGCTAGGTACCAGAGGTACACATCTATAATCCCAAATACTCAGGAGAGAGATCAGGAGGGTTGCAGTTCAAGTCCAACCCAGTGTGAGACCCCGATCTCACCAGAAAAAAACTGGGCAGGGTAGCACATACCTGTCATCCCAGCTACATGGGAAGTTTAAGTAGGAGGACCATGGACCAGGTTGGCCCAGGCAAAAATGTGAGAACCTATCTCATAAATAAATAAAGCAAAAAGGGCTGGGTATGTGGTTCAAGTAGCAGAGCACCTGCATGGAAAGTGCAAGTCCCTGAGTTCAAATCCTAGTACTGCCAAAAAATAAAAATAAATGAGTAAAAGCAAATGTTTGGGCATGTTGCTAGTTACCACATAACAAGAATTAGATGTGAAAATAGTGATTCCGAGAAGAAAAGTACTTGCACAGATAAAAGATAAAATATAGTTCATAACTGCTATATAAGGTTGAGTTTAGAAAGAACCTATCAAATTCTCTCTAGGAATAATAAGGTTACTTTAGGGGATTTTTGGTGTAGTTGCTGGGAATCTAACCCAGGGTCTTACACATATTAGGCATGTGGTACACCACTGAGTCACACCCCAAGCCCCAACGCTTCTTTAGGAATAAGTGAAATAGGTAAGACTTAAAACACAATATAGCAAACATTTTAGGGTTTATAATGTACTTCAACTGCTCTCACAGCAAATACTTGCTCATTTGTCCAAAAGTAATGGTCCTGTTTATCAGAGCATCAAAGAGAACTTAAATGCTTTCATTGTCTATAATTCAACTGAATTCTAGTTTGAGCTTTGATAGCTTCTGGAGATGCTGGCATAGCCTTCTGCTCTTTTCATGAGTATATAATTAAATGCTACTAAAACTGAAAGAGAAAGATTTCCCCAGAAACTTAGAAGACAATAATCCAAAATCGCTTTTCCACTTGCTCCCATGAATTCAATGCCAATCAGTCTTTTTTTACTTTTAATGTGATCTATGGTACAATGAAGCAAGATTTTGGTTTTGCTTAAGTTGTTCAGCTTTTTGATACAAAGATGTTAGTGTCCCTATTTTGGAAATTTAAAATGGAGTTAGCCCAAAATGTGTATTACTCTGAGTAGTGATTACAATCAGTGAGTGCTAAGGAAACAGTTCACAATCTAATAGAAAAGGATAGCCAGGTGCTTAGAATGGAAAAATACATACAGTCTGAACTCAGTTACTAATAGCCTATTTTCTCTGTATAATATATTTTACATGTTTTTTTCTGGTTAAAAAAGAAAATCAATGTTTTTATAATATTAATCACATTTGTTTTATTTCAAAACAAGGGAGAAGAAATAAAGACAAATTAATAGAAACCTATTATTCTTACTAATTTTAAATATTGATTTACACATAAATGCAGGGCAGGCACAGTAATCCTAGCATCACAGCTAGATTACTAGCATAAGGCTGAGGCAGGAGCATTGTGAGTTTGAGGCTAGCCTGGGCTACATAGTAAGATCCTATCTCAAAAAAACAAAACACAACAGCAAAGAAAATCAAGTGTATACACTTAAAAACGTGTATGACACATATACTTAGACAGCTACACAATCTCTGGCATTAGCAAAACACAGCTCTAGTCTACAGAGAAGCAATCCGTGGGAAGCCAGTACTTCCCCATGGCTCTAGAAGCATGGTGGGGGGAGTGGTCTAAACATTAGTACGTAAACCTCATCTATGTTTCACTTTTCACTTATAAACTGTTAGTAAGTAAAGTACTAAAAGGAAATGGAAATACCTCTGAAGTAAAATATGAAAATCAAAATATTGATCCAAATACTTTTATTTCCTAATTTTTGTACCTGAAATTCTTAAGAATATACATTTATAATGTCAGGCTATAAGTCATAGCTACTGATTAACTTTCAAACTTTAGAGGGAAACTTCAAAAATGTATCACTTTGAAATGGAATATGCTACCAATGTGTTTTTATGGTTTTGCTTTTTGTTTTACAATTTCCAAAGAAATAACAAATTAAGCCATTTTTTAAAACAATACTGGTGTTCTAGAAGCAAAAGAGAGAACATTTCATTTTATGTATATGCATAAATCAGCTTAGGAACATTTATGGGTAAAAGTTCTAAGCATTATATACCAAATGTGACATGCAATTCCCTAAAGTTATGTATGATTTCATGGTAAAATATATGTAAAAATCTGAAAGTATTAAAAATACATACAATAACATAGACTCAGAAGTAAAGTACTATAAATATTTCTTGCCTATCTATAATCAACCAAAGCTTAAGGATTAACATATATGGAGTCATTCTGATTTTTTTTCCCACAAACAACTTTTGTTTTTAAATGTTATCAATCCTAAAAATATGTTTGTGCTGCCCTCCACTGGCAGTGAGGCAGAACTGCATTTCACAGATGACAATACTTCAGAGCACAATTCATTTATTCCCTATTTTAAAATCTTTTCTCTTAATAATAATCTTTAATATAATTTCATTCTGTTTTAAAGAAACTAAAAAAAAAGTTTAGCCACAATTTGACAATGAAGGGCTTTGGGTCTTGGTGTTTGGATTTTTTGAAGTGAAATATAATCCTTAAACTAAAACACTAAATTAAGCTTTGGTATTCACTAAATGATAAGCAAAACTCAAACAAAAGGAATATACATTAATTTCCTCCATTAAGTATGCTAACATCAAATATAATTTTTACTCAAAGAACAGCACAGTTTCACTTTTCATTTAAGACACAAACTTAAGCACCAAACAATTTATACAGTAGAAAGATTAAAGGTAAGTGAGTATTCACTGAGAATTCGTGGAAGCCAAAGAATGGATCATCATACAGACATCTGAATACTCCTCAAATTAAGGGATACTATAAAACTCCTTTGTGTAAGTCATTTAAAAAAGAAATCCTAAGTGCTACTGCAAATCTGTGGTCACTTTCTTTTGTTTCCCTGCTCATGAATGATTCTATAGCCTGCAAAAATAAGATGGTAAGATGCCTTAGAGAATTTTTTTTTTGATTTGGGATAGGGTGGTTTTGTTTCTAAGTAGGCATCATCAAATTAATAAAATAGATTTCCTAAAGACGTTCTCTGAAAAGTAAACTTTGAATATCAAATTCAGAATCTCTTAAGCTCTCACCTGAAAAATTTAGTATTTAATAAACTTCTATGTGCTACAGAATTTCAAATATGTTATAATCAGTGCTTATAACTCAAACATTAAATATCACTAAAACATTAAATATTCCCTCTTTAAATAAGGATCGTGAGGTGGCTAAGGAACTCGCCTAAGCAGCAGAGCCAGGGTTTAAATGTGTTAGTCAATCTCCAAACCCAACACATTTCTATAGTCCCTGATTCTTATTTTCATTAAGTGATGAACATAATACTAAAGCTTTAAGACTACTGAGAACTGTAGGCTGCGGCAACTGCCTTTCCAATGTTTCAGGAATGCATACTACCTCTGGAAAAACTAAAACTGAGCCAGGCACGGTGGCTCAGGCCTGTAATCCCAGCTACTCAGGAGGCAAACACTGAGAGGACAGTAGTTCAAGTTAAGGAGACATCATCTCAACCAACGAAAAGCTGGGCAGGGTAGCATCCACTACCAAAACATGAAACATAATCCAAAAATAACTGAAGCAAAAAGGGCTAGGGGTGGAAGAGCACCTGCTTAGCAAGTGCAAGGCCCTGAGTTCAAACTCTGGTACCACAAAAAAAAATGGAGTATTTATCAAAAAAAAGAATTCTGACCATCATCTTAGCACCATTATTCTGAGGGACGTGCTTATTCTGAAAACCTGGTGGTAAATAAAGTCCCTAGCTGAACAACCTCCTCAGATGCCCTATGGGTCTTCATTCTGTCAAGGAAATAAAGGGACAGCAAGTAATAGTAAGAAGGACCTCAGAAACAGTGTTAAACAGGGAAGGCTGAGGCAATGTAAAACCAACCTACTTCAGAAATTCAGCCATGAATTCAGCTATAAAATGTTAAATATAAAAAAAAGTATCTGAGTTAATTTCCTAATCTACAGACCATTCAAACATTCAATTCACCCTTTCTTTCAATTGTTTCAAAAATCATGACAATTCTATATCATAGACACATACCAGCAAGAGGTGGCTTATGTGAGTGAAGAAGGCAGGGCACGCTGACAATTAACTTGTGATCTGGAATAGGGAGCACTTTTACATCTGTGTTCCTAATTAAAACACAACAAGACAGCAAACTATATTTTAAAAAGACAATTTTTACTCATATGCCACAGTTACATTGATTTTTTTTCCCCTTCAAATAGCATCCAATTTTAAAACAAATTTAAGGACAGACTCAATGAAGGAAATCAAACAGTTTAAGAACTGAGAAATTTCCCAGAATTTTGTTTTCCACAATAGTGAAAATTATACACTAGATATAACAAAAGGTAAAATAAAATTTCTAAAGTTCACTAAATACATACTTTTCTGTTCTGAGCCATTTTCACATTTTCAAAAATGTAAAAATTAAGGAAAATTGATCATTGTGTTAATAATTTTTAAAAGCCTAAAAATTAAGCCATTTATATTATTTTGAAAAATTGCCTTTTTTACCTTAATGGTAAAGGAGTTTTTTCCCGAACTCTCCCCAGTATAAGACCTTCATAAGGCTTTTTGTGTGGAGAATCTAATGGGAACACAAACTCTCCTGAACTGGTGATCTGATAGGAAAGAGCCAACAAAAAGTTATTTTTCCCCCATCACACTATACAGCTTCCACCAAAAAAAGGGAAAGAGAAATTATTAAATCTCCAGACTAGTGTTATCTAATAAAAATATAATGCAAGCCAACAAATGTGAGCCACATATGGAATTTTAAATTTTCTAGAAGTAACATTATTAAAAACTAAAAAAGAATGCAATAAAATTAATTTTAACATATTTAACTTAATCTAGCATATCTAAAATATAATTTTAATATGTGATCAATTTGAAAAGTTACTGAGATGTTAACATTCTTTCTTTCTTATGAAGTCTTTAAAGTCTGATGCACACTTCACATTAGCAGCACATCTCCACCTGGAGTAGCCACAGTTCAAGTGCTAAAGGGCCACTTGTGGTAGTGGCTACCATACTGGACAGTAGCTATAAATGATTTTTTAGTTATTTATATAGTATAGATATTTTATATATAACTTTGTTAACATCTTACACATCAAAACCTCTACTTTTCATTAAAGTTTATCCTTGAAAACCAGGTCATCATTAATTCATTTATTAATCACTCAAATAACACTGATTATCAGCCATTTTTCTTCAGACAGCCTTTATATTCAATGCAGATTACTCTGTTATAATAGTATGTATAATTAGTTATTGTTTCATTTAATATACTGTATTTTTTGTTTTAAACTCTGATCTTATCATACCATCTCTTAGAACTAATTACTACTACAGATGAACTGTCTTGAGTTTTTACATATTAACATTTTACTGGGCTTGATTTCAGAAGGCAACCTCTTCCTGACTTTGGTCCTAGTCTCTGATAATAAAAGAAACATCAGGCCAGGTGCCAGTGGCTCACACCTGTAATCCTAGCTACTCAGGAGGCAGAGATCGGGAGATAACGGTTTGAAGCCAGCCCAGGGAAATAGTTCCCTAGACTCTATCTTGAAAAAACCTATCACAAAAAAAGGGCTGGTGGAGTTTCTTAAGTGGTAGAGCACCTGCTAGCAAATGTGAGTCCCTGACTTCAAACCCCAGTACAAGAAAGAGAGGAAGAAAGGGACCCAGGGAGGAAGGGAGGAAGGGAGGGAGGGAGGGAGGAATTATCAGAGCTTGGAATGTAGCTCAGTAGTAGAGTATTTGCTTGGCATGTGGGCTCCTGGGTTCCATCTCAGCAGCACACACACAAAGGAAGAACTGTCATAACGGGAAGAATAGAACAGGTGTTCTGTCATGTCTGTTCTATTCCCATCATGTTTCTATATCAAATCAACCAAGACTAAGACCAAAGCATGTCATAAAAGCAAAGATACAAATGTAAATATTTGGTTTGCCAAATCCCATAGGTACAAATAAACAATGTGCACTTGAAGGCATATTTTATTCAGTAGAATACAAAACTTAAAAGGGCATATAAAATACAATTCTACTGTATCTAAAATAAACATTCTAGCTATATAAATATTAAACATTGGTTTTTGCTTGTGTTTGGTTTTGGGGGGCTCACGCTTGCTAGGCAGGCACTCTACCACTTGTGCTACTCTGCCAGCTCTATAAGTATTACACATTGTAACTTGACTTATCTTTTCAAAGTTGGAAGGAATCTTATGGAAATCATCTGAACAGTGAATGTATCTTTAAAAGAATGTCCAATAAACTCTGAACCGAACCCTCATTTTTGTATTTTGTTTCATTTTCTTGCAGCATATAGAGAGAGATTAAAGATCAGTCAACCAGCCCAAGAGTTGGAATCATTTCTTTCAAAAATAGGTTACAAGCATATAAAGCACTGAAGACTAAGCTAGTTTAAAAGCCTGGTGCTGTGATGCACATCTTTAATCTCAGATTCTAGAGAGGCTGACACAGGAGGATCTCTCAGGTGTGAGGCCAGCCTGGACTACGAAAGTGAGATCCCATTTCTAAAAAAAGATTTAGGAGTTAAAAAATTCTTGGTTCCCACATCTTCCTGCCCGCTCTATAATGACTTTGCTATTCTCTGCCCTCATCCACAGAATCATGACAGAGACAGTGACACAAAGAGTGACTGAAATTGTCGCTATGCAAAGGAAAGACAAGGAATAGTAAGACTTATTTTTTATGCAATGGCAAGATTCCCAAGCCTCTTCCTTATTGTTGTTGTTGTTGATATCTAGAGATAACCGAGCCTTTTAAAATTTCATTCCATTATTTTCTTGACTGATCTCCTAGTCAGAAAGCAGTTTGGATCCCTACTACAAAAAGAAGAAACAGATAAAAGCCTTGAGAATAAGAAGACAAAAGTGTTTAGCCAGAAATCAAAAGTTATCACTAGACCTGTTAAAGGAGAACAGCAGCAGGTTAAGCATTAGAAAGTAGATGCTGTTTGTACATGTCCCTACGTCACACTATATTAAGAAATAAGCTAACTTCTCAACTCACTTTCACCCAATGCCATTCAGCAAGTGTCTCCACAGACCAAAAAGGATAAAGCTCTTCCTTCACAAAACGCAGGTGCTTCTGTCTGTTGGTCACCCAAGTAACAACAAGACAGTTTGGGGCAGCCAGTTTAGGGATAGGTATTTGCTTTATTTGTAGTGGTGATAAATAACTGTACCTAAAAGTAAACAGAAGAAAATATTAAAATTCACAAGAAAGAAAAATAAGCAGGGAAAATGCCTGTGTAACAGTGACCCCACAAATACAAAGATCCTAGAACCAATTATTTCTGTAGCTAAATACGAAGCCACAGTGACACCTGGTGGACACATTCTCACATGCATGCACCAAAAACAACATTTTTCTTTTTTACTAGTTTAAATTTGGCAAGCTAGAGTCTTTAATCATGTCTAAACTTTAGTAACTTTCCTATTTATGTTTTTCTCAATTCAAAATTAAGCAAATACTGTTTGGATCCCATCTCTGTGTATTACATAGGAGCCCCATCATAGTCAGTCTTGAAACTAGTGTCTCAACCCATCAAACCCTCCAGACACAACCTGCACAAAGTAAGTGCCATGAGGTAGGTAATGCTGAAGCCAATTTATTTCAATAAACCTTTGTGTCCCCCTGTAATTCTCAAACCTTGCACAAAAAGCTGACCCTTTGGGTCATCTACCATCTCACCCAACCTCACCTTCTTCCCACTACATTTTCAATCCGCACTCTATTATTCTGCTTCTTTCATCCTTCCCTATCAGTTTCACTGGGCTCTCTGCAGCCCTCATGCTTTCATTTCTTTTTTTAAAATTCTAGTCTTGTGCCTTCTGGCCATGAATAATATGAAGACAAGTTTGAGTTGCTTAATGCTATGTGCTCTAAAATACCAAATCAGATAAATATGGCCCTTCTCCAACACACAAGTATTCGTAGTTCCCCATTGCCGCTTCTAGACTTTATCTTACTTACCCACCTGTGCATGAAATCCCCCTCTCTGAGAGGTTTCTTGCTAAACCCTTTACACCTTCACTTTCCAAATTCAAGGAGGTCTTAAGCTCTGAGATCCATCTACCTCTACAATAAAACTTTCCATTATCCTGGGAAATTTCAAAGCACAATTTCAATACAATGTTCACACCTCAACTATTATTCACCTAAACAAACAAGTGCAATTACTCCACTTCAATAATCAATTCTAATGCCATAACCTATGCTTTGGCATCACTCACGCTTGTTTCATCTCAGAAGCCATGAACTTTAGTGTCTGGCTGTAGCTTCCTGTGTCTCACTCATTTTTGACCTTATCAAAGCATCCAGTACCCATCCCTCCATGTTACTGAATTTATCAGTTCCTTCCTAATCAAAATTACTCGTTCCTCATAGACTGCCAACCACTTCCTTACCTTCTCACCAACACCCTTGACTCCCACTTCCCCTTTACCCTTCAGTCTCACATCCCTGCAAACACCCAATCTAAAATTCATCCCACAATTTTCTTTTTTCTATTTCTAGGGATCAAGCCCAGGTCCTTGTGCATGCAAAGCACAGATTCTAACACTGAGTTATACCCCAAGCCAATACCATATTTTTTACTATTTTTTATTAGCGTATATTAACAGTACAAGTGGTTTCACTGTGGTAATTCCATAGATGTGTACAATGTACTTTGAACAAGTTCTTCTCTATTGTATTTCCTAGCCCCCTCCTACCTCCCCACCCAACACCACAATTTAATTCAATGTCTTCATATAGAGAAAATAAGGTTAAAATGCAGAATAAAAGAATTAGACCATTAAAAGTTTTTTGGTAAATCCATTCTCAGGCTCTCATCAATTCTTTTATTTATCCTAGGTCAAGTAATATAAAATCCTCACCACCTTCAAGTCCCTTGACTAAACTGACCCTTGGCAGATGAAGTTAACACAAACATCAGTAAAAATACCAAGGCCTTTCAACTACTCAACCATCTCTTCTTTACACACATTTATCTATGTCTTTTTTTTTTTCTTTTCAATACTGTGGTTTGAACTCATGGCCTATACTTTGAGCTACTCCAGCGGCCCCTTTTTTGTGTTGGGTATTTTAGAGACAGGGTCTCACTATTTGTCTGAGCTGGCTTTGAACCATAATCCTCCTAATCTCAGCCTCTTGAGTAGCTAGCATTATAGAAGTGAGCACTGGCGCCTGGCTTATTTATTTCTACACATTTCCTCTTAAAGGAAATGACATGACTTTAACTATTAAGGCTTCTCCCTCCAACTATATTTTCCTATTCCTACTTTGTAGTATTTTGTAATGTCAATTATTCCCTTCTTTCTGCATTTTCAACCTCTCAAGTAATTCACCATCAACCTATAAATATGTTTATATTATGCTAGTGGAAAAGAAGATGGCAGAGTGGCTCAACTGGTAGAGTGCTGCCTAGCAATCATGAAGTCCTGAGTTCAAACCCCAATACCACCAAAAAAGAAACAAAGAAGAGGGAAGAGGATAGAATGAGGAGGAAGAAAAGGAAACAGGAAAAGAAGGGGCAGAAGAGGGAAGAATAGAGAAAACAAGAAAAATCCTTCAATTTGGTCTCCATCCATCTATAATTAGGTTAAGAATTGGTACGCATTTATGTCTTTCCATTTTCTTTATTTTAGTCCTCAGTCAACTCCAATGTGGCTTCTACCACTCTACCTGCTCAGCAAAAGGTAAATGGCCACTTAAGGGCCAAATGAAATGCAAGGAACACTGGAATGTAGCTCTAATGTAAGTCTGACCTCAACAATGATTGCTAAGGACTGGCAGAATGGCTCCAGCAGTAGAGCCATGAGTTCAAACCCTAATGCCACCAATTAAAAAAAAAAAAACAATTGCTTTTGTTAAATAAACAAATAAATGAATAAAAGAATTTAAATCTCAACCAAGTCTCCTTCCACCTAGCACTAGGATTTCCCACAAGCAAAGTGATGATTTTAAAAGGTTAATTTTTCCAGACATGATGGCTTACACCTATCTCAACACTTGGGAGGCTAGAACAGGAGAAGCACAAGTTCAAGGCTGAACAGGGCTACACAGCAAGACACTATCTCAAAAATAAATAAATAATTATAAAACTAAAAAACCAATTTTGTCAGGGTATGAAGAATGTCAGATCAAAAATCTGAAGTGAGTTCTGAAACAGTGGCTCAGCCTATAATCTCACTTACTCAGGAGGTGGAGAATGAGGGAATCACAATTCCAAGCCAACCCAGGCAAAAGTAAGTGAGACCTCCTAATTCAAATAAGCCAGGCATGGTGGTACAGATCTATAATCCCAGCTATCCTGGTGACACAGGTAGAAGGATCATGGTCCCAGGCTGCCACCGGCAAAAGTGTTAAGACCCTATCTGAAAAAGTAACAAAAGGAAAAAGGGATGGGGATGTGGCTCAAGTTGTAGAGCACACCTGCCTAGCAAATGCAAGAATCTGAGTTCAAACCATTCTACCACCACCACCAAAAAAAAAAAAAAAAAAAACCTGAAATGACATGGTTTCAATAATTGCAGATTTCTTGATTACCTTAACTTTAGTTATTTAGCTAGGTTGGTTAGGAGGAAGAAGGAAACATTCTATTCCCTCCTCTAGCTCTAAGCTCAAGAAATCACTGAGAAATTCCAAAATATATATCTGTATGTATTACACTGGAAAGTATGCAATGTCACTTACTCTTCAAAAGACACAATTTCATAACCTTGTTTCGGGCAAAGATTTCTTAAACATAACACCAAAAGCATGACAACAAAATAAGAAACAGATAAACTGGAGTACATCAAAATTAAAAACTTCAAGTTCAAGGCAGGCCTAGAATACATAACGAAATCCTGCCTCAAAAAAAAAAAATTTAAGGTGGGCACTGGTGGTTCACACCTGTAACCCTGGCTGCTCAGGAGGCTGAGACGAGGAGGACTTAGTTTGAGGCCAGCCTGGGCAAATACTTCTCGAGTCTCCATCTCTAAGATAACCAGTGCAGGAAACAACCAGCCAAGAGTACTGGTGTGGAACATTGGCTGAAAAGGCCAGGAGGGTGCCAGGGCTGCCTTGCCCCTTCCTGGGTTTCTGGACGGTGCCCAGATAAGTCTCCGTTTACCTTAGGACAGAAGTAGGGTGGGAGAGGCTCACCGACCAGTGACTTTCTAAGAACTCCCAACATGATGGGAGGAGGGGACAGGTCCCTTGCCATCCTTAGCTCTTCCCTTGGGGTAAGGAATTTGCAAGGGGGAAAAGAGCCAGCCTCAGGAATGAGCTGCTCTTGGCCCACCCCTTGGGGCAGCAGAGCCAGTGAGAACTTGGTTTCTTCAGTGGGAGAATTTTATCGTGTTTCTTTGTTCAGTTCAGAGATATTACTAGATGCAGTTTGATCAGCTACAATTAAAAGTTGACTTTTTTTTCCAATAAACAAATAAAATAACCAGTGCAGAATGGACTGGAGGTGTAGTTTAGTGGTAGAGCATCTGCTTTGTAAGCATGAAGTCCTGAGTTCAAACTGTGCCCCCCAAAAAAGTAGTAATAATTTAAAAACTTGCCGGGCATGGTGGTACACATTTGTACTCCCAGTTACTAAACAGATAGAGGGAGGAGGATCACAAGTTTGAGATGAGCCCAGGAAAAGTTACTGAGATCCTACCTCAAAACCAAAATGAACAGCCAGGTGTTCCCAGCAATGCTGGAGACAAAGATAGGAAGATCGGGTTCAAGATCAGCCCTGGACCAAAACACGAGACACTATCTGAAAAGTAACTAAAGCAAAGAAAGGACTGGGGATGTGGCTCAAGTGACAGAGCACCTGCCTAATAAGCACAAGGACCTGAGTTCAAATCCCAGGGCTGCCAAAAAAATAAAATAAAGTAACAACAAAAGGGTTCAGAGCATAGCTCAAGTGGTAGAGCGCTTACTTAGCAAACAAGAGGCCCTTGATTCAATCCCCAGTCCCACAAAAGATAATAACTTAATAAACAAATAAAACCTGATGCTTCAATGAACACTCTAAAGAAAGGAAAAAGATCTCCTGGAAAATATTTACATATCATATGTCTGATATATATCTTTATATAAATATATATATATATATACATAAATATATCCAAAATATATAAAGAACTCTTACAAATCAGCAATCTTTAAAACCCAATTTTAAATGTGCAAAGATTTCAACAGACAATTTTCTACAGAAGAAATACAAATACCCAATAAGGACATGAAAAGATGCTCAACATTGTTAATTATCATAAAAATGCAAATTAAAACCATGAGATGGCATTTCACAGTCACTAAGATGGCTATAATTTTTTAAATGGAAAATAACAACTGTTGGTGAAGATGTGGAAAAATTAGAACACTCATTGCTAGTAGGAATGTAAAATGGTAAAGCCACTATGGAAAACTGTTTGGCAGTTCCAAAACAAATTTAAACATGGAATTATCATAGAGCACAGAAATTCTACTCCTAAAAAAAAAAAATGCAACTCCACAAAAGGGCTGGTGGATTGCTTCAAGTAGTGAAATGCTTGCCAGAGTTAGAGAATCTACAAACTCTGAAGGCACGGTCATCGGTCCTCAAGACTGACCTCAGAGACATGCCAACTAAACAATTCATGATCTATGATTTTATTTTGATAGAAAAGGCATTTTGAAACAACTAGTACAATATGATTGAGGTCCACAGAAAATAGTAATGTATCCATAACAGTACTGTGTCAATGTTAATTACCTATTTTGATAATAGTATTATGATTATATAAGACAATATTTATTTTGAGGAAATACACACAACATGTAACAGTGACTTTCTCTTACCAAATTCTCAAATGGTACAGAAAAAACTTTATATATGTATATGTATATATATATATTCATGTATATGTACCTATCCGTATCTACACACACACAAACACACAGGCAGACACATGAACTTTTGGTATGGTTCTTGCAACTTTAAAGAAAAATATTTCTGGCATAGTTTATAAACAAAAAGCATAGCTGAAGATAAATGGTGAGAGGAAGAAATTACAGATGAAGTTTAAATCAAAGTAGGAATTGTTTTGTCTAGAAAACTGAAGAATGATAGGAAATGTAACTGAAATCATTCATCATATCCAGAGGAGAAAACTTCTTAAAATTTTAAATGTACTCTTAAAAGAAAACATGATATTAGTAACTAATTTAACTTATCATCCTAAGAGATGGCATAAATTAAAAATGTGTCAAAAATTAAAAACATAAACCAAAAAAAGAATAGCAAGTTATTAAGGAAGACTAGAAATATTTTGGCATATAATTCTAAATTCTAGAATTTGATATCAAAGAAGCCAAAATGTTGCCCTTTGGTATTATGGAAACAGCTATGAAATGGTTCAGGCAGTACCTTAGCAATTAATAAATATATGATAATCTTGCACATATAGCTCCAGTTCAAGAGAATTATCTAGTTAAAGAAATGAATTTTTAAAACCATTCCAAGCACTTCAGTAGTTTCAGATAACCTATCCCATACTGTTTACAATATATTAAACAAGAAAAAAAATATAATATATTAAATGAGAATGTACAAAGGACTATATGTTTTAGAAAATATATCTAACAGATAATTCATTTCCACTTACCTATTACTTCTTTTAACTGATTTATTCTGCCATGGTGGGTCGATCACAATTACATCAAATGTTTTCCTACCTGAAATCAAAGACACACTTTAAAAAAAAACCTCTGAATGTGATCACTTTAAAAACTAAACATGACCAGTACCACCAAGAAAAAAGAAGCAGAAAGAGGAGAAGGAGAAAAACAAATTTTAAAAAACTAAACACGAGGATTGGGAGTGTAGTTCAATGGCAGAGCACATACTTAGCATGTACAAGACCCTGGGTTCCAGCACCCCAAAAAATAAAAACAATAAAAATACAACTAAACATGTTCTACAAAAGTACTTTCTCATACAAGAAGCTGAGGCAGGAGGAGCACAAGTTCAAGGACAGCCTGGGCTACATAGTGAGACCCTGCCTCAAAAAAGAAAAGAGAGAAGAAAAAGAAAAAATTAAAGTACTTTTAGTGACAAAAAGTAAAGTGCTTTTTACATACACAAATATAAACGGGATGCAACAAAAAGATTTATGTCACTTATTCAAACATACTAATTTTTGGACCCCTGAGATTGTAACATAATTCAACTTACTACTGTATTTGTGGAGACTACCGACAGATGACTAAAGCTCACTGGGCAGGACACTAGAAATTGTAAATTCTCTATAAATCTTGGTGGCCTCATCAATATAGTCCTTTCAAACCTAGATGATACTTTTATCTTTCTTCAATTTTTTATTTTAAAATTTCAGTTTTATAACTGAAAGACTAATCACAATAAAACTTCCCCCTATTATCTTCTAATGTCCTTTTGTCTGGTTCAGAACCAAAATCAGGATCACACATTATATTTAGTTACCATATCTATAACCTCTCCTCCAATCTGGGGAAGTTCTCAGTTGTTCTTTGTCTAGTATGACCTTGACAGTAAAAGCCTACTGGCCAGTTATTTTATAAAATATCTCTCAATTTGGGTTTGGTATTCCCTCATAATTAAATTTAGGAGAATGTCACCAAATTAATGTCTGCCATACCCTACCAGAGAAATAGGTGGGTAGAATGTCAAAATGTCTCACTATTGGTGATATTACCTTACATCACCCCATAAAGTATGGTCTGCCAGGTCTCTCCAGTTTTTCTCGGGCAATTAGCAAGTATCATTTGCAGAAATACTTGAAAACCACAAAAACATCCTGTTTTGATATCCAATTATTACAGTGTTTGTCAAGTGGAAATTTTCTACTTCCATCATTCCATCCACATTAATTAACTGGAAGATTTTACTGTAAAAGCTAGTCCTTCTTCCACTTTTATTAACAGAGGTTTTTTTTAAAATAAATGTACAATCTCATAAGTAAATAAGACTATAGATTAAAATAAGCAGGTGACCCTTTTTAAAATATTAGAATAACAAAGATCAAAAAGACTTGGAAAAATATTGAAACAAAGTATGATTTTCTCACTAATTTATTACCCTGCAATTTTTCTCTGAAGAATTTATGGTACTGCTCCATGGATAACACTCATGTGGTTAGCTTCATGGCAATTAAAAGAAGCTTCTCATTAGTAAGCTACATTGTGGTTGCTTGATAACTTAAAATTTGCTATAAAATATCCAAATAACAATAAACAGCAGATGAAATTCAATTTGATCAATATACCTCTTACCTATCACATTCCTTAAAATGTTATAATAGTTACAATTTATTAAAAACATATGCATCACTGAGCTAAGAATTTGATATATATTATGTAATTTAATCCTCAAAATGTAGAGGATGTAGATAGGAAAACAAGGTTCAGTTTTGTAAATGAATAACCAATTGACTCACAGTTAATTAAGCTTAAGAACCTAGAGTCAAATAGTTCAACTTAATATAAAGAAAAGGTAAAGTCATTTGGTTAAATATAACTGTATTCTGAATTCCTAAGTACAGAGAACTAACTGCATTTGCTCTCTTAAAATCTAGTTTTGGACCCTCTATTCATAATAAGAATTAAAATTTCTTTAAAAAGGAAAAGTCAGAGCTGGACACGGTAGCACAAGCCTGAGTAGTGGTACTCAGGACACTAAGGTCGAAGACCATGGTTGAAGGCCAACCTGGGTTACAAAGAGAGATCCTGTATCAAAAAAAAAAAAAAAAGCAGCAAAAGTCAGCACTTTAAAATTGAATTTAAAAGAAAAACTGAACTTAGAAAAGCATTTACCCTATCATCATAAATGTTGGCCTCAATTCAAAGTTAGGACTATCTCTTAACTTCTGACACCACAGAAATATTATCATTTTCTAATAATAAACATAGTAATTACTTACAGTTCAGAAGTGGTTGCATACAAGAAATGTCAGACAAAAGAAAACTGCTTTTTGGTGGCAGGAGGTATTGCTGTCCCATTAAAGTAATCATTTTTGAAAAGCTACAGTTGTTTTCAACAACCCGAGAAAATAAATCCTGCTCTGTGACAGACACATCATCCCCCATCAATTGCAATGTCTGAAGTTCCATTTCATTCAGAGAAGGCAAATGCTTCGCCATTTCACATAATCCTGATAAACTGCAGGTATCAGGTGGTAAAGGAATGGGTTTACTACACTTGTCCTGTTTTTTAATGAGTGGGTACAGGAAACCACTTTTGAGGCCTTCTTGAATTAAATGTAAAGATCCATCCAAAATCAGCTCTCTAATCTGTAAGAGAATTTGTTTAGCATATATTAAAAAGAGAGTCATTAAATAGTTTTCCAAATAATGAAATTCCTCCTGTGCTTTGAATATCTGAATGTATACATTAAAATCAACATTCATATTTTTTTTGTTTTGGGGGTTGTTTTTTATTAGCATATGATAGTTGTACATGGGAATACATTATAACATTTACATATGTGCTTACAATTATCTTAATTAGGTTCACCCCCTTCATCATTTCCCCCTCATTACCTCTCCTCCCCTTCTATAATGAAACCTGTTAAAATTGTTCTAAACATTCATAATTCCTACAGTAAAATAATTTTATGCTGTGATGAGAAAAATGTTGGTATACTTTTGAACTGTTGTTTCCTAATTATAGAATGAAACAAACCTCACAAATTCATTGACAATTAAATAACCCAATAATATATATACATATATAACTATGTCCTTAAAAATGTATTAGAGGCTGGGCACCAGTGGCTCACCCCTGTAATTCCAGCTATTTGGGAGGCTGATATCAGGAGGATCATGTTTCGAGGCCAGCCTAGGCAAATAATTCTTAGCACCCCATCTCCAAAATAACCAGAGCAAAATGGGACTGGAGGTGCGGCTCAAGTGGTAGAATGGCTGCTTTGCAAGCACAAAGTCCTGAGTTTGAACCCGGGAATGGAGGTGTGGCTCAAGTGGTAGAATGGCTGTTTTGCAAGCACAAAGTCCTATGTTTGAACCCCAGTCCCATCAAAAGAAAAAAAATGTACTAGAAGAATTTTATCATTTGAATGTATGACAAATAAAATGGAAGCCAGGCACCAGTGGCTCATACATGTACATGCAATCCTACCTACTTCAGGAGGCAGAGATCAGGGGATCACAGCTCATAGCTTGAGACCTATCTCAAAAATACTCAACACAGCTGGTAGAGTGGTTCAAGTGGTAGACATCTGCATAGCAAGCACGAGGCCCTGAGTTCAAACCCCAATACCACCCCAAAAAAAAAGAAAATGGAATTTGTAATCTGTTAAGTAAATTAAGTTTAAAGGATAACATTTAATCTTGCATTTTTCCAGTGACCTAATTTTAAAATAAATATGGCTTTGATTTTATAAAATATAATTTGAATTGTAAAACCAAAGAAAAAGAACTATAAAATGAACATAGAAAGTTTTGCAA